GCACAGTTCTGAGAGGGCACTTCTGGGAGGCCAGGGCTTAAGTCTGATCAGCCTTAGGGACTTCGCTTGGTGACATCTGCTCTGGAGAGATTTGGTTAACACACTCCGTGGGCCAGGCAGATGCCATTTTTGGCTGTGAGTCTGGATCTTAGGAGCCTCCCAGGAACTCTCCTGTGTGGCAGGAGAATCAGCCCTCCACACGTCCCACATACTCAGCGGCCAGTCTTGTCCTTGAGTGCATTCAYGCCTGCATATGCAGTTTCTCCATCCTTATCAGCTGTCCCATGAGCCACCAGGCTCAAAGGGAAAGCAAGTCACACTCCCTTCTGTATTTCTGATTGAATCTCCTTGAGTACAATCTTTTCTGTGTCTTTTTCAGTCACTTTCTGCTAGGTACACCCTAGGCCACCGGGTAGGCGCTTGCCAGGACAGTATGCAGTGTTTGTTGTGGTCTCCTGGGCTTCTGGCAGCAGCGAGCTGCAATGTGGCCTCCTCAGCATGGCTCCTGGCCTTCGTTCTTTGCCAGTTGAAAAATRCAGAGCACTTATTAGATAGCAGCTTGCTGTGCAGCCTCTGGATAGCTAAATTCAGGCTGCGTTTTTTCATCTACAGGTTTGTTTGTGCCAAATTTGTCCATTGTGTTTCTGTGTGTATTATCCYTCCCCTCCCTGGGGAAGCACACTGCTGCCGCCGCGGCTGCTATCTGGCTCCAGTGTACTCTCTCTTCTTTGTTTGATGCACTCAAATTTCTGAGACCTTAAGAGACGCTGACTGTCTGATACGGAGTTTCAGTGTACTCCCTCTCTCACCCGCCTCACTGAGAAGCAGTAGTCCTGGTGCTTGAATCCCAAACCACAGAGCAACTGGAAATGTAGCCTTCCTCAAATTCATCACCTTTAATCTCTGGTTTTATGAAATTCTTGATTGCCTCCTGCTCAGCGCTTCCCTCAGCTCCTCTACTGCACTGACTTTGAGCCAGGTAAGCTCACCAGGCTGAGCCAGGTAAGCTCACCAGGCACGAGCTCCTCTGGCTCCCCGTCAGGCTCTTGCACTCCTGCTCCTAACTGCATGACATCTCCCTTGCCCCCACCTTCACACAAGGAGTCCTTCACACTCCTTTCTCTCCGCGTTCCCTGTCCGTTAGTGATATTGCCTACTAGATATACATGACAGTAAAGTGTATTTTGACATGTTATAATAATGTAGTATACTTATTCTAAATAGGTTTCCATTCTTGTGGTTGTACAYGATGTGGAGTTTCACTGTGGTGTATTCATATATSAACATAAGAAAGTTCTGATTCATTCCACTGTCTTTCCTATTCCCGTCCCCTTCTCTTCTCTTCATTTTTCTTTGTCTAGTCCACTGAATTTCTGCCCCCCTTATTGTRTGTTAGCATCTGCATATCAAAGAGAACCTTTTGTTTTTTGGAATTAGCTTATTTAATTTAGCATGATAGTCTCCAGATCCATCCATTTACTGGCAAAAGTCATAAAATTATTTTTCTGTGGCTGAGTAATATTCYRTTGTGTAGATATATCACATTTTCTTTATTCACTTATCTGCTGAAGGGCACCTAGGTTGGTAACATAGCTTAGCTATTGTGAATTGAGCTTCTGTAAACATTGATGTGGTTATGACATTGTAGTATGCTAATTTTAAGTCCTTTGGGTATATACGGAGATGTAGTATAACCAGGTCAATGGTGGTTCCATTCCAAGTTTTTTGAGCAATCTTCATATTGCTTTCCAGGGTGGTTGCACCAATTTGCAGTCCTAGATATTGACCATTTTTGTAACTCAGCTGTAGACACCAACATTTATCTCTAGCCGTACTCTTTCCCAGATTTTTGTGTGTATTTCATGCTGGACTCTGGGATTCTCCTGCTGGCTTACTCTCAGATGGGTTGTTCGTGTGTCTATATGAGATATTTAATTTTCACTACCTTTCTTTCCTTTCCCAACCATTTTTCTCTTGATTCCATTAGTATAGGTGATTCTGAGTATCCAATCCTGTTTTTGATATCAGTTTTGTCTCTTCCTCTGTCTCCAGATCTGTTCCATTACAAAATCTTAATGATCCTATCCCCATGCTGTTTCTCATGACTGGGGGCTTTCCATTTTTGCCGCAGATAGCCTCATTTCTCACCTGCAGTTCAGCAAACTCCAGGCTGAATTTTTTTTTTCTTTCGGTATTCAGCCCATTCTTGAAATCAGAGGTTGACAGTCTTTTTCTGTAAAGGTCCAGATAGTGAAATATTTTGGGCTTTCCAGCCTGTATGGTCTCTCTGGCAGCTCTCTGTTATTTTGTAGCTCCCAAATTGTCACGAATGTATAAATAAATGGGTGTGGCTGTGTTGCAATAAATTTTTATTTAAAAAATAAATGATAAGCCAGATTTGGCCTGCAGACTATGGTTTGCCAATTCTTGCTTTAAAATGCCACCAGATGAGATTAGTCTTTTGTTAGTTCTGCATSGGAAGACTCTGGGGAGTTTAGTCTTGTTTACTGCCCATTTCTTAGGTCATGTTTCCCCATTAGCAAATAGAACACTCTTCAGAAGAGTGCAGCCCAACCCGCTGGGTGTTGTGGATCTGTTGCTCCCCTTGTCCTAGTTCTGAGCCTTCAAGTTGCCACCACTGTTCACGATGACTTTATCACCCTCTGGGATACAAAAGCTCCATAGCTGTAACTCTCAAAACAAGTATGATGGGAATAGATTTTCATTTTACCTTTAAAGACCCAACATTTGTTTTAGATCAGCCACTTTTTACTGGCCAAATAGACCAAAGTAGCAGTTCTTCTCCTGATTTGTTGACCTTTAAAGCAATGAAGTTATTAGTAAGGAAAGAGGGGAGTATATATAATATTGTGCCAGGTGTTTTGAATACCAAACAGAGCTTCTCACGTAGGAGGCATTAAATATTGATTTAACAAAAGAGAATATTTTGACTGTGCTAGTGTTTTAAATCTTCTGATATATGACTGTCCATATCATTGACCCTGATTAAAATTTTCAAACACTCTCACCTTGTTTTTCTATATAGTTGACTCTTTAGCCAGGCATGTCAGACCATCTCTGATCGAGCCCAACTTTCCTGTAGTCTGAGCACTTGTTGTTCTCCTTCTTTCCAGCCACACGGGGCTCATTTCTCCTCTAAGAAGTGCTTTGGGTTGTTCCGTATCTGTGATCTTGGTATGATTTCCGCCAACTTGAATTTTCCCTAGCTTTCCTCAGTGTTTGTAGTCCATGATTTCACCTTTTTTTCCTCCAAGGCCCAGCTCATGCCTCCTGCATAAACATTCCCCTGCCTAATGCCTTCATGCCCATGAAGGGATTGTTTCCTTCTCAGATCTTCTGCAGAACTTGGCACCTCTTTGGTACATAAATTCTGTCTTGTGTTGTACAGCGTAACCCCTTCTTCTTGGTGGTTATCTCCTCAGGCAAGGAGTAACTCATTGTCCAAGTGTCTGGCAGAGCACTTTGTATGTGAGAATTAACAAGTGTTAACTTGAATCAAGTTATAGTAGAATGAAGGTGATTTGGTGTGCCATAGGAGGTGGGATAGGATAAGCAGTTCTAGCCCTTGCTTTATTACTATGGCAGTTTTTAAAAAAATATTTTTTTAGTTGTTGATGTACCTTTATTTTATCTGTCTGTCTGTCTGTCTATCTATCTATCTATCTATCTATCTATCTGTCTGTCTAACTATCTATATGCTGCTCTGAGAATTGAACCCAAGGCCTCACACATGCTAGGCAAGATTGCCCTAGGGACTGGGGTTGTAGCTCAGTGGTATCTTGGTAATTTGCTTATTTGTGTTCTGTCATTGTCAAAGGGAGAAAATGTTTTTTCTGTATTTACCTTTGGAAGAAATGACGATAATAAATGAGGATGATAGGACTCTTGGACTAACACCAAAGTTTGCATTTAAAGTGTACTAAAGRATTCATATTTTGGAGCTTTTAGGTCAGGAGAGTTTCTTCTTAGGAGACTTCTTGGTACCTCAGAGTGATCTTTTAGCAAGTGTCAGTCTAGAATTCTGCTGTATGTTATTCCTGAATTTTACTTTTCTCTGGTTTGTAAAACTTTGCAGTGGTATTGAGAGATGACAGTAACGGACATTTTTGTTTGCCTTAGCATTGAAACCACTTGTTCATGTATTGTCCATTAATTTAACAATAGCCATTGAAAGGCTGGTAAATATTTCAAGCTAGCTAAATACAGTCTGTACTTACAGGCTTGAAAAGCTAAYTGGAAATGGCAGTTTGCTGTGAAGCATGAATAACTTTGAAGAGAAGTGTTGTTTATAAAGRGTCAACAGTGTGACTATTCAGTCTAGCATGGCAATTATGTATGTAAATGAGTTAATTCAAAATTGGAGCACTCTCCTGTCTACCGCAGACTTCCTGATCAAAATAAACTTGGGAAATTAATTTTCTGACTTAGACACTTGGTATTAGTGACACTTTAGCAATTTTCTTGTACTTAATGAAGGAATCATATATAATGAAAAGTCTGTATTTTAATTAACAAAGATTGTCTCAGTATAGGTGTAAGCTAGTTTACAATATATCCATTTTCTGTATAAACCACTTAATGTAAATGACACTGCTAGTCTACTATTAAGATACATTTGTGTAATGGAATACAGCCTGTTGGCTATTACTGGAACTTCCCAAGCAGTTTCACAGGCCTCTCAAATCTACAGCTTTCTACATATAGTAGAACCCTCCTCTTGTCATATAATCCTTATATTTGACTGCTTCGTTATGCCAAGGTTAGTCCCCAGATCATGTGGTTCCCAATCAATGTGGAAACTGGAAGGTTTTTAAGATGTAATTATTACCTGGAGATGGGTTTTACTGTTTAGCTTCAAGCCTCTAGAGATATAATGGTTTGTTTGAGAGGAAAGCTATGCACCTGAGATGCTTAAGTCTATTTTTAATACCATGGGTGTATTTGGAAAATTGTAACAAGTCATTCTCTGTATTTTTTAGGACTTAAATGAGTTTAAGGAGCTGACAACATGTGTTTTCCCCAGGTAGGCTTTCTTTAAGTCTCATCGTTCATTCAAAATAGTCACTGTTGGTTGGGTGTTGGGGGGGGTTGGTGAACTGACATCAAATTCCATGTATGTATAAGTTTGTGAAATGAACCCAACTGCTATTTTCAATAAAAATAAATAAAACAGTCATTGTGACATACATAATACAAACAGATACATGCTAATTTATTATAATCAATGGGCCCTGATTAGAATCCAGTTCTTAAAAGCTGGGAAATGATTTAGTCTCTCTAACTTTGGAGGAGTTGACTGTTTTTAATTTATGATTGGTTTTGTTGTCCCATTAAATCAGAGTCTGAATTGGGTGGGAAGGCAGCCTATGATTCCTCTTCTGTTATCTCACACCTTTCCCTCTGAAGGGCTGGCGAGGCTTTCCTAAAGTGGCTGTGGTCCTTCACATCCCTGGCACATACCTTGTCTGTTGAAGTACCCTGTTGGGCATCTRCTCTGTCCATTCAGAACTAGGGAGAAATTTTTTCTCCACTTTAAGTCRGTGCCTTTGCTGCTGGTGTTCTCCACAGTTGGTAATTGCATCCTAGTTCTGATGTGTCACATGTCTGATAGATCACATGCCCACCCATTTGAATAGGGACTATTTCTGTCTTACTATTTAGTGTTCACCTTTGTGTGAAAAGAAATAGAGAAATACAGCCTTCATATTGGTCAGAAAGTCTCTTTCTCTATTTAGTATTTTTGATTTTTGAAACAGAATAGTAAGAAATAACAACAGCATGAAATTACTGAATGCAGAGTTGGGCTCCCTAAGAACTTATTTCATACCAATCTGGATAAGTAGCAGTAGATGGTAATGATTTAGGAAGGTTAGACCTACACCAGTATTTGAACCATGTGGAAACAGGGGGATGTTTGACTTGCCTTTGAGGTTGATGGAGACCACACACAGGGTGCAGGCGAACCTGGAACTGATTCTCTTAGTGTGTCAGAGCAGGGACTGACCTGCAGCTGTCTGATGAAGTCACTGGTGATAGGACTTGACCCCAGGTTAATGTAGCAGTGATGTCACTGCTAGCCTCAACGGCTACTCTGCTTGGTTCTTCTCTCCATGTTAAGTGTATTATATGTTAAGTATTTCATGTATTAGGTRTATGTTAAGCATGTTAAATATGTATTGTATGTATGAAATTATTTTAAATATTTGAGTAAAATACATTTTGAACATTGATACAAATTATGTTTACCTTATTAAAAATATTTTGTTTTCAGACTCTTGGATACTAAATTGATGGCCAGCACACAACCTTTTAAGGTAGTGTTTAAATTTGAACTATCACTAATGAGCTATACTTTGAAATTTTTTGAATTGCTATTATTATCTTTGGAATTCTGGTTTATCTAAATGCTATTCCAAATATATAGAAGAAAAAAGTAGAAGAAATAAAGGAATAAAGAGAAAATGGAAAAAAAACCCACCCAAATATGTAAAAATGTGAACAGGGGTTGACTTTGGCTAGTGGGATTATGTGGGTTTTTTTCTTTTTTCTTCAAATAAAATTTTTAATATTAAATATATTATTTACTTTTGAGTATGTTGCACATGTGCACAGKTTTTTTTTCTTCATTTCCTTTTTCTTATTGTACATATTTGGGATAAATTTTCTAATCAAGGAAATKTAGATCATGGCATAATCTTTTGCTACTTTATTATATAATTGATATGAATGCCAGAACAGCATAGCTTTCTGATGAAAGGTCTGTAGATGTTTAATGTATCTGTAAAAACCTTCCATTTGGTTTGCTTTTTTTTTTTTTTTTCCCTGGTAGTGGGGATTGAACCTAGGGCCTTGCATATATGAGGAGAATGCTCTATCTCTGAGCCACGTCTCCAGCCCTTTTTATTTCATTTTGTTACAGAGTCTCAACAGATTGCCCAGGCTGGCCTCTAACTTGAGATGCCCTTGCTTCAACCTCCTAAGTTGCTGGGATTATAGGCATGAACCACTGTAGCCTGATGGTTGTACTTTTCATAGAGTGAAATTAAACTTGCTTCTCTTTTGCATTTAGTGAAAGATGACTTGTTCTTTAAAGAACACCAGGGGGCAGCACCAGATGCCATTTGTATGCATGTCCCAAAAGTGGATTCTTTTTTTTTTTAAATCTTTTTCTTTTTAGTTATAGATGGACACAATACCTTTTTTTAATCTATCTATTTTTATGTGTGCTGAAGGTTGAACCCAGTGTCTCACATGTGCCAGGCAAGTGCTCTACTACTGAGTTTCAACCTCAACCCAGAAACACTTTTTTTTTTTTGGTGTGTGTGTGTGTATGTGTGTGGTGCTAGGGATTGAACCCAGGGCCTTGTGCATGCAAGGCAAGCACTGTACCAACTGAGCTATATCCCCAGCCCTGGATCTCTTTACTGTATGTTGTCTGTTGATGATGAAGTGGTGTACCTCTTTGCTTCCTCATTTGCAGGATATCATTAACAACACATCCCTTGCAGAACTGGAAAAGCGGGTAAAAGAAACACCTTTCAATCCTCCTAAAGTTGGTAAGAATATGAAACAAACCTGAAAACCATCCAACTCTTTGTGATAGTTATGATGCACACTGTAGATGAAAGGTGAATGGCGCTAGAACTATACTGCATGTTTAGATTTTGGCCAAGTTAGCCCACTCATGCCCTGTGTTGAATTACTGTTTTCTGAAGAAGAATGGTCTTTAATTTTACATGTGTCTTATGTTAATAGAGTTGGGTAGGCGTTCATTGAGAAGTTTGGCAACTAAAGTTTCAAGGCTTTTATTTCCTAATGCTTGGAATTCTCCCAGAACTTGATGTGACCTTTTATATGGTGCATTGTTTAAGCAGAGGCAGAGTTGGTGGTTAATTGCCAGGAGTAGAATGAAAATGTATTTTCTGTCTCAGAAAAACCCAAGAACTGAGTTTACTGATGAGATTAAAGGAGAGCCTTTATCCCTGTTTCCTTTTAAGCCAAGTTAGGAAGTGGAAATAGCATTGAGGGAAATCAGAAGTCAGGGGGAATGTTCCTTGTGGGATGGAGGTGTTTAGCCATGTCCAGTACCACCAAGGTATTTGGTGATTCTTCTGGGTGCTACTTACATGTTCCTTTTAGCCTAATTATGTATGCTGCAGACACTGTAGTTCGCATTCCTTTARCTGTGGCCCAAAAACTTCTCAATACATGAGAGGACTAATGGTTCAAAACTGACAATGGCAGGTATTAAAGCAGCCAAGATTACAGATATTTGCTTTCCCTTCTGGGTTAGAGTCCAAGAAATAAATTAAGAAAAGGGGTGGGGAGGGGGAAAGAAAACCCAGACCTTGTCTGTAATAATATAGTAATTGATCTGGAAAATAATGTGTTTCAGCTTGTGGTAGTGTTGGAAAATATTAGGTGGCTACTATGTTAAAGGCTTTAAAAAAAAACTTTTTAGGCCTCATATTTAATACTCGGTTAAAGAATTCTTCTTAAGGAGCATTATAGTGACATGAAAACAGTTGCATTCTTTTCATTGTTCATTCATGTTTTTATTCTGCCTCTTTGACTCTCATTTCCGAATGATTCTAGGAAATAATTATTTACGAGTGATAGTTTTATCCTGTTATTTCCATATATAATTCTGGTATTGGGAAAAGAATTTAGTCTAAAGCAGGTGGCTCTTCCCAGACTTTATCTTCTCAGCTTCTGTGTATATCAGTGTGACAAAAGAATCATGTTATAAAATGGTCTTTGCTATGAAGCGGCCCCATGATCTAAGGGCCATGTTACAGCAAATTCTGATCTATTTTTGGAGTTGTTGTGCTATTGTCTTTAGATCTCCAAGCTTGGACACATAGTGGAGGACATTGTTACCAATACTGAACTGGAGTCTTTCATTTGGGGGRAAGAGTGTTAGCAGGCTACTTAGAGAGAGTATTTACTAAGCATTTACCATGCACCACACCCTAGGTAAGATCTTTCCTTGCATTGTGTTGAGGAGGTTTGGTTGTCATCTCCATTTTACAAATCTGGAGCCAGGGGTGAGGTGACTTGCCTAGGGTCACACAGCAAATTGTGGAGCAGAGATTCAAGCTGAGACARTGTGACTCCTGAGTCCTGCTATTACTCTTTGCTGTGTCCTGATGTTATGATGTTATATAGGGAAGAAATTCTTTTTCTTGACCTTRGAAAGCAATCAGAAGAGGAATAATTGTCATTGGGTGAGTTATGCCTGATTGTGAGCAGCTCCCACCAGTGTGGGATAAGGAGGCCTCTAGTGGGGTCTTTGGAAATGTATTGAGGCGTTCTGTTGTCTGCACCAAAGCCCTCATTTTCAGTCACTCGGTTCTCTCTGTGTGTTTGTGTGTGTGTGAAGGTCTGTATACAGAGAGTTAAGACATAGACATTTTTTTCCTGCTTATTGAAGGTATTTTGCAGCACATGTTAATGAAGTCAGGATTTGGCTGGGCATTATGTTTAAACTAGTCTTCATGTTTCATGATGACCTGGGGAAAACGATTTTTTCCTTTTTTCTCTTCAGAAAGTGCAGAAGGTTTTCCAAGTTATGACACAGCTTCTGAACAGCTCCACGAGGCAGGCTATGATGCTTATATCACAGGACTGTGCTTCATCTCCATGGCAAATTACCTAGGTACTTGTTAAAAAAGGGTTCTGTCARTATGCGTTTCTGTCAGATACACAGTGGGCTCGAGTGGATCAGCGCAAGCTGCTGGGGCAGACTACCATAGACTGGGGGTTTAAGCAACACKTTTGTTTCTCGGCTGGGAAGCCCAAGATCAAGGTGCCAGCTGAGCATATTTTGCTGGTCTGGCGAGAGCCTACTCCTGGTTTATAAATGGCTGTCTGCTCAGACCCAGACCCCCTGTGGTAGAGAGCTGGGGGAAGAAACTCCGTGTCTCTTCTGATAAAGTCACCAGTCCCCCTAACTACCTCCAAATACTGTCTCACTTCTAAATACCGTCATGCTGTGGAAAAAGCTTCCACATGTGAATTTGGGGTGAACACAGACATTCAGTCTGTAACTCTGCCATTTTCCRAGGATCCACTTGCCCAGTTAGAAGTGGGAGGGTCTAAGGTAGGAGTTGGAGGAGATGGGAGGGAGTAGGCAGGGAGGAGCCACTGACATGCACCTATTGTCAGGTGCCTGGTCAGTGAGAGTACCTTTTACCCTTGTAGAACCATACTGTTGATTTACATGTGTTTTTGTCTGAACTTTCAGACTTTGTCCATACGACTGTGTATAATACCCTGCTTCTTTTCTTCATTAGGTTCTTTTCTCAGTCCTCCAAAAATTCATGTATCTGCCAGATCAAAACTCATTGAACCTTTTTTTAACAAGTAAGTAATTAGAGGGACTCAATCCCCCAGTTCTCTCACCGCTCTTGGAATGACTGGGAACAGTAGTGTATTTTTAGATCAAATATTTCTCATCTCAAGTAACATATGTTTCTAGAAAACAGAAGTTGACCTTTTGGGAAACAATTAGTTAAATATATTGGCTAAAACAAAAAGAGAAAAGGAAAAAATATTGGAAACCTTGCCAAAGGTAATATGTCTCTTTCAAGAAAAAGAACATGTGGGTTTTGGCATTTAAATTTTCTATCAGGGACACATGCATACAGTTGGTCCTAACCCCTAGCAAATTTTGCATTGGGATTATTATTTATGCTTGCATTATTATCTACTCATATAATATTCTTTCTAAGATGATGTTAGTTAGGCAAATGACTTTAGGGATAATTAGTGAAGTTTTGATTGTCACTACATCCTGATTCCTCATCTGAGTGGGCCCAGAGAAGTAAAGGCTTGCTCATACATCTTTATTGTTGTAAGAAGTTATTGTGGGTCTGGGGTTGTGGCTCAGCGGTAGAGTGTTTGCCTAGCACACGCGAGGCCCTGGTTTGATTCTCAGCACCACGTAAAACAAAATAAATAAATAAATAAAACAAAGGTATTGTATCCRACTACAACTGAAGAGTAAAAATATAAAACAAAAAAGAAGTCATTGTGATTTAGGGAGAAGTCTTATATTTGGAGCATTTAGAAAAATCTCAAGATTATTACTTGAAGGTGTAGTTTGTGCTCGATGAGCAAAGCTGAGACTGAAGTTACAGATGTGCTCCTCAGGCAGGCTGCAGCTTGGCTCTGTGTCAGACCCCTGAACTTTGTCTTTGCCTCAGCTCTCTTACGGGGCTGGTATTAGATTCTGTGTGAGCCAGGCAGAGCAGGCAGCCCACTCCATCACCACTGGAAGAAATAACTATTTCCGTGTTGGGTTGGTTACATCCTTTTCTTACACTGTATGTAGTACTTATAGCCCTGTCATTGCTTTACTGACTAGCAATACCAGTTCCTTAAGATATTTGTAAGAATGCTAGTACCACAGTGCTGGGCTTCAGCGGCACATTGCAGAGACAGATGTTAACTCCAAACACCTGGATTCCACAGACTCCGAATTGCTGTTGTCTGAGTTAGTGAATTTCATCATACTRTATCTGCTGCTGCTCTTTTTTGGGGGATGGGACAGTTTGAGATGAGGTACCCAAACTGACYTTGAACTCCCAATTCTCCTGCCTCAGCCCTCTAAATAGCTGGGATTTCAGACATGTACCACCAAATCTGGCTTATGATTATGATTATGATTTTTGTAGATGGACAGAATACTTTTATTTATTTATTTTATGTGGTGCTGAGGGTCAAACCCAGTGCTTCACACATGCTAGGCAAGTGCTCTGCCACTGAGCTACAGCCTCAGCTCCATGATTATTATTTTAAAAATCTTTGTTATTCTTTTCTATAGACATAGAGAGATAATGTGTATGATTGTCAACATCTTTCAAAGCAGATTGGGTAACAATGTGGTTTCACCTCTATCTACCTCCAAGTGGGGATTGGGCTTCCACATATAAATTTTGGTATGGGTACCAACATTTAGTCTGTAACACTATCCTTTCCCTAGGATCCACTCATCCGCTAGAACTGGGAGAGTTCTGAGGTGGGAGTTAGAGGACATAGGYGGGGAGCAGGCAGGGAGGAGCATCTGACACCTGTTGTTAGGTGCCTCTTGTATATGGGAAGTTGATTGTGCTAACCACTGAGTCCTTGCTCTCTGTCCATTTCCTTAAAGGATTTTTTTAAAAAGCTTTCTTAGAGCTCTTAGGGGCAGTATTTGTCTTTGTAAACTTCTGGAAGWGTAGCTTATGCTGCAGACTRTGAAAGCCACAGGTGACATCAAATGTGATTCAGGTCATGGCCATTCCTTACATGTTAGGTACWTGATGTTAAATTTATTGTTCTACAGTGTTTTTCAAATGGAAAATGTTTTCTCACTTGTAAATATTTGAAACAACAAGGGTGCTTTTCCATTAAATTCAAGTCCTTATAAAGTCAGGTGATGGATATAAACTGGGTGAGATACAGGGTAACATSTGATTTGTCAGTTATGTGACCATTGTGCAGAGTGAATGTTGATTAAGAAGCTTTGTTATGACTTTATATGTTTATTGATCAATCTAATATTGCTAATACTGTGCAGTGCTATTTTTCAGAAGAATTGGACACTAAATATATTTTTTATTTCACTTTTCAGATACTTTTATCTTTTTTGGGGTGGTTGGGATGAACCCAGCACTTCTTAAATATTAAGCAAGCACTCTAACCACTGAGTTACACCTTCTGCCCTATGTATATAACTTCATTTTAAAGTGGGACATCTCTATTCAGATTTTTTTTTTTAAGATCTAGATACATATCCAAAATCATTGAATACAGGATAAGATTCAGGAGTCCTCCTGTGATTTTGCACTAAAAGTTCCTGCCAAACTTGATTATTTTTAARGTTTTATTTTTCTTATCTATAAAAAAAGAATACTTTCTTTATCTTTTAATTGAAAAAATTCCAGCAGGATTTGAAATGAAAAACAATTTTACTATTTTGTCTTGGAATAACTTAGTAAAGTGCCATCATCCATTCTTAATACACTTAGAAAGTGGAGAAAGCTGTTGCTTCTTTTGATATCTCTACGTACTTAGTATTGACCTCATTTTATTTACTTGCACGTATAGCTTATGGCATTAAATATGGATTTTTACCATTTGTCAAGATTACCTCTTTATAAAAACATTCAGCATTTGCCCCCAGCATATCTCAAGCTGATAATTTTAAGAAAAAAGTTGCAAAATTTTTTTTTCCAGAAGGTTAATCTGTTTCAACACCAGGCCTTTCTAAATGTAAAATTAGGRAAAAAAATACCAAAACATGCATAATCCTAACATAAATTTAGATGACTATTAAATGCCTGTGTCTGTATTTTGATTTGTTCTGATCAGATTTATGTGTTAAAAGTAAACCATGAGGGGAAATAAACTCTAGCTATTTTTTTTTTTTTTTTTAGCTGGGGGAGGGTGTGCTGGGACTTAAACCTAGGGCTTGCATATGTTTGCATGTGCTCTCTATTAAGCTACACTTCTAGCCTATATGGTGTCATCCCCCGCCCCCATGAAGTCTCACTRTGTTGCCTAGACTGGCCTCAAACTCAAGTGATTCTCCTGCCTCAGCCTCCCAGGTACGTGGGACTGCAGGAACGTTCCATTCTGCCTGCCTCTACATTATTCCAAAATTAGCACTTAGGGCATCAGTTATGCCTTTTGGGGAAACTGAACTGAGTCAGCTATTGAGAAAATCCCAAGACAGCTGTATGCAGTATGCAAACATCAAATGTAACATAAGGTGGTGTTTTGTTTTGTGTTGAGAATGGTACCCAGGCTTTTTGTGCTGTCAGTAAGCCCCAGTCCAATATAAGCATTTTCCTTTTAATATTTTTGATGTTGATGGACCTTTTATTTTATTCATTTATTTATATGTGATGCTGAGGATTGAACCCAGGCCTCACTATTGTGAGGCAAGCACTGTACCACTGAGCCACTACCCCAGCCCAATATAAGTGTTTTCTAAGGCACACTTGCTAGAATAATGTCCCACAAGGAGTTTTGCATGGTGCCATTGTGTACTTTCTTGGCCTAGGTACCTCCCATGTGTCTCCTTGCTTTGTTGGCATCAGGGTGAGAATTGGAGGATGGCTGTGTCCTGCCCACTGCTAATGACCAGCTCATGGAGTGCCTTATTTGTTTATATTGCAGACTCTCTGATGGAGAAATGATTTTATAACCTTCTTTTATAACCTTGGTCAGTTTCAATTGAAGCTTGGAAAACCAGCTTTAGAGAAGATCCTTTGGTCAAATCCTTTTAGACTGAAAAGTTAAAAATATTCTCTGCTTTTACTTTTTGTTGTACCACAAAAAGCACAAAGTTCGACTTTAGCCTTATGTTTTATTAACAGTCATCTGTACAAGACACTTTGAACTCCCTTGTAGATAATCTTTTATGAAGGTTTTTGAGAAGGCTGCTTTCCATCTACCTCAGTTTTTAGAAAGAAGAAGGAAATGAGCACATCTTTTTATTTTGGCTATTTGCTGTGAGAGAGGGAATTTTAAAGAAAAAGGTGCATGCCTGCAGTTTCCTCTAGAGGGTTCCGCCTGTTCTCGAAGCAGGAGTCCACGTGGCGTCTCGGTCTCCCTGGGATGACACTGTTTTATGTTCTTTCTTGCTGTGGAGGAGACATAGCCAGAAGCAGCATTCTCTTAGATAAATTGCTTCTTCCTTTGTAAAAGAAAGATAAAACTATTCACCTTCCATGGAGGCTGCAGGATTGCATGAGACATGAAAGGACTTGATATTCTAGAACTCAGTTGATGTCCAGTGTTTTCTTTTCTGAAAATATGGGGGGTGAGGAGAGGGCAAGGAGGACTGGGAAGATAAGATGTTGGTCAAAGGATATAGAATTTCATCAAGAGTAAGTCAAGAGTTCTGTTGTTCATCACTGTGACTGTAATTAATAGCTATGTATTGTCAACTTGAAAATTGCTGAAAGAGTAGATTTTAAGGGTTCTCACCACAAGAAAAATGTATGTGAAGYAATGCATGTGTAATTAGCTTGCTCTAGCTCTTCCACAGTGTAAACATATTTCAGAACATCATATTGTACATCATAAATGTATGCAATTGTTATGTGTTAGTTAAAAATAATTATAAATAGAAGAGGATCTAACATTCTAAGGGACTGAAAAAAGTAGTTGTACTCAGGGCTGGAGTGTAGCACAGTAGTAGGGCACTTGCCTAGCATGTGCGAGGCCCTGGCTGGATTCTTAGCACTGAAAAACTGTGTGTGACATGGGCATGTGTTTTTAGTTTAATGATATAGAAGAAAAGGTTGTAACCAGTATGGTCATAAACTTGGAGCTCAGCAGCAACAAATAACAACATTTATTTAAACTGTCTA